GGGGGGGCGGCTCTATTGGACTGCGGACGGCGAGGCGGAAACAGACGACAGAGCCGTCGCGAATAGAGCAGCACTCCCGCGCTGAAGAAGAACACCGTAAGAGCGTTCGGATGTTGCCAAATGCCGTGGGATGAACTAATACTTTTATGTGGAACTTGTGAATATTTTTTAACTCTATTTTTGATGGATTTTACAATGATTTAATCTAAAGCACAGTGCTGTCATTTCCCGGCATTAATCCCGAATTTCGGAACTTTTCCAGAGATCATCGAAATTCCCGGAATATTCAGGTATTTTCGAAATGTTCTCGGAATTTCGGAGTTTTTCGTCAGTTTGGCCGATTAATTGATAATATTTGATGGAATCAAATTCGACGATCTTCGGTACTAAATCCGGGCGTACTTCGAATGTTTTCTCCGGAACTTATGAAAACTTCGGAATTTTTCTCGGAGTTTCGGGAAATCAGAATCAATTCCGGGAACCCCGGCATCCTTGGCAAAATGAAATGCCAGCACTGCTAACAGCATCTGAAAATTTCGGGGGGGGGGGGGATATTCATGGCTTTCCTCAATTTTAAAAATTTTCTTTTATGAAATTTGGCAACATTCGAATGTTCATACGACGTTTTTTTCTACACACGGCGGAATAGACCAGCGGGGCCGATGGGAGGAGTGCTCCACTGAATTCTGAAACGAATTCTGAGGCTGAGCTATGTCCGGCTGTTCACGAGTCGTTCACACGCCTGATTTGCATATTTCCCGCTGAGGACCGGGCTGAGCCTGACTCGAACGAAATTCCAATTGAATCGATGCATGTTGAAAGAACGTAAGTCCGAAAGCTTATGAGCTTCAGCGTCCTGCGTAGGCAACGAAAGCCAGGGCTCATGAGTTCACAGGTGGACTTACGCCTTTATAATACGCATCCACTAAATTGACTCTCGGAGACGAGAGGATTTGGGGGTTGCGTACTAAGCGGAGACTATCAGAGATCCTTTGAATTGGATCTATAGCGGAGGTAAAAGAGCATGGAGGAATTGGATTGAATTTTGCAAAAAGGAACCACTAGCATTGCAATGTTGCTAAGATTGTGCGACTTCTATTGTCTTGGAGGAAAAACCGGATTATCCATTAATAGTTTCTATTTTACTCGCCAAAAACTGTGAATTTAAGACAAAAATTACCATCTAAATTTCATAGTTTTTCACGATTTCCGAAATTTTATTGCAAAGGATGAAGTTGCACAATCTTAGCATCATTGCGATGCTAGTGGTTCCTTTTTGCAAAATGCAATCCAATTAAACTTTTGCTATACTTGAAATATTGTTTACACTTCAAAAATTTTGGCAAAACACGGATTCATCGTGCCCAGAGGCTCATTTCAGCTGTTTATTCCCCCCAAAAAACTCATATTAAAACAGAATGACGGGTTTTCTTTGATTTCAAAATTCCCTGATTTATCAGGATATTCTGAAATCGAAAAAAATTTGTCTCCCTGCTTTAAACTACACAGATTTTCACAAGAATTAACAGCTGAAATCCCACCAAAAAA